TATATCGTCAAATAGAAATATATATATATATATATATATATATCGTCAAATAGAACTGCCCGGTAAACCGTAGGCAGAGAGGGAGAAGAGGACAACAAACGAGGGGCTGTGACAAACTGTTTCGTCGGAGTTTATATATATATATATATATCGTCACAAACAGAACTGCCCGGTAAAACCGTAGGCAGAGAGAGAGAAGAGGACAACAAACGAGGGGCTGTGACAAACTGTTTCGTCGGAGTTTCACCGACTCATATATCGTCACAAACAGAGATATATATATATACATATATATATATATATATCGTCACAAACAGAACTGCCCCGTAAACCGTAGGCAGAGAGAGAGAAGAGGACAACAAACGAGGGGCTGTGACGAACTGTTTCGTCGGAGTTTCACCGACTCATCGGGAGGCTGAACCCTCAACAGTCCGCAGAATCCCCTACCTAACTGATTACACTGTAAGTGATACCCCTCTGAGGTGGTGGGGACCACCAACCACTGCCCTCAAGGTACCTGTGACGAAAATCGAAGCAGACTATCACTCACCCACACCCACACCAGATGCAAAACTCTACTATATATGTAAGACGGTTCATTATTGTGGAAGCTTTCTTTTTCTTTCCTCCCCCTTTTAACCAACACTACCTAACCCAGCCACTTTTTTCCGACGCGGCCGTTAACGCGCCACAAGTTTCACGGGTCAGCCAACCGGGGGCAAAATGGCTGGCGACGCCAGCCAATTGGAAGCCTGCACGGCTCCCTTTTTTTGGTGCACACTGCACAGGGCATTTCCAGGCTCAGCAAGGGAAGCGTCAAAGGTACTGGTGGCTTAATTAAGGTATATATTTTTCTCTCAAATTCACCTTTCCAACTGATCACTACTCCTAAGCCTATACAGAGGACCTCTGCAAGCAGAGCTACTTCTCACAATCAAGGGGATGCATGTTGTCCCCGGCCCTAATGGGCAGTGGTCAGGGGCTAGGGTGGGGTCACCAGTAGGGGTGGGGGTGACACAAAGACCAAGCATTTTTCCAGTAGCGGTGCCTCCCATCTACTTCCCCCAACCCCATCAAATAACAACAGTGTCTCATACCAACACTGTCCTCCCCCCCCTCCTGCCCCCCCCACAACACTTACAATCATCTCAAGTGTGCTTCATTGTCCACACTAGAGGTAAGGCTGCTTCCATTTTGGATCTACTCATCTGGGTGGAACAGGGGATGTTGTCGTGAAAATCTACAACACACACACACAGAGCCATGATAGCTAAAGACCCTACCAATACCGACCAGGGGGGTCAGTTGGTTGGCATCAAGAGCACCCCAGATGGTCAGTGGGGATTGAACCCACGACCTTCTGAATCTGAATGCCACTTGCATACCTAACCAAATGAGCTACCGTCTTCCCCCGAACACAACGCACCCTTATTTTGTCTGTATCTGTCCGGAAATATCGCTTGTATACATTCATTTTTAGGGTGCATTATGTTCGGGGGAAGATGGTAGGCCGCTTGCTCGGTTACCATGGAAGTTGGTGGTAGCTTCCTCTCTTACCTTCTTTTTTTTCTCTCTTTCCCCCCTCCTCTCCATTTTAACGCAGGACTCCAGGAGTAGATAAAGATTGGATCAGAGAAGAGTCACAGATGCCACAGAGGAGGGCCATTATTGCACTTGGCACCATGCTGTGTTGTAGGCCCCAGAGAAGAGTCACAGCGGCCGCAGAGGAGGGGCATTATTTCACTTGGCACCATGTTGTGTTGTAGGCCCCGGAATCGGGGGGGTGAGGCACTTTTCCCAGGGGGATGGAAACACCCTGCGCAGTGGGCGCCAAAAAAAAAAAACTGAACAGGCGGTGGGGTCCTTTTGGCTGGTGCCGCCAGCCATTTTGCTCCGGAGGCCGAGCCCCCGAAAGTTTGCGGGGGCATCATGCAAGCCGTGACTTTGAAAAAATGGCTGGGAAACGTACTGGTGGTTTGAAGGGTTTTCCCTGTCTGAGTACATCCATAGATTCCATACCCATTTAGGCTCCTCGATGTCATTGTAAAAGACCCTTTAACATGATCGAGATCGGGATCATTTATGAACCAAACCAACCCCTTTTGCTTCTTGAACCCCAATTAACATTTTCTGCAGCCCCTCGCGGAGCATCTTTTCATTTTTCTGATTTGCCAGTCTAGGGGATCTCTCTCTAAGATGCGAAGGCTGTGCCCAGATGACCCCTCCTGGTTTTGTATGGAAGCTGATGGAGCCGGCACTGGTGGAGAAGACCTTAACCAAATGAATTTAGCTTGGGCAGCAGTCCTACTAGGGGAGGATGCTCACTCGTATCACCCCTCTAGCAGTAGGAGTCGCCTGGCCTTTCAAAAAAAAAAAAAAAAAAAAAAAAGTTAATAGTTTGCCCTTTCTGGGCTCCACCGCAATGGGCACCCCTCTCATTCTCTACAAATGGCAAATGCTTAATTCCGTACAAAAAATACTATGAAATCACTACAAAATTAGTGCAAATGCATGAATCTGGTCAGTTATGTGAACAGTGAACACAACCTTGTGTGGACAAGAGCTCTCCCTATCAAGAAAACTTTGACCAAACAATGTTTAGTATTGTTCACGCAACACTGGCTGTTGATCAGGACTCTCAATTGCAAAAACTTTCCATCGTATGTATCCCTAAAATACAGTTGTATTTGTTTTCCTTCTTGCTGTGGTTCCTGCTGTGACCTGCAGCCCTCGGACAATCAGTACAGGACTCCAAACAGTTTTGCTAGCTCTCCGGCTATGTCAAGAGGTCAACCTGTTTGGCTTCTCCTACACTGAACACATGGCTGAGAAGGTGATCTCTCTCTCTCTCTCTCTCTCTCTCTCTCTCTC